CCCCCCCCCCCCCCCCACTAAGTTGACCGAGAAAGGAAAATCGTTCACCTGGAATGATCAGTGCAAGGATAGTTTCCAAGAACTTAAACAGAGGTTAGTAACAGCCCTGATACTTACTATGCCATTAGGAGATGGAGGCTTTGTTGTGGTATACAGTGATGCTTCAAAAAGGGGGTTAGGGTGTGTCCTCATGCAATATGGGAAGGTTATCGCCTATGCTTCGTGTCAACTAAAAGAATACGAGCAAAACTATCCCACCCACAACCTAGAACTCGTAGCAGTGGTATTTGCACTGAAGATTTAGAGACACTACCTTTATGGAGAAAGGACCCAAATTTTCACTGACCACAAGAGTCTTAAATACTTCTTTACTCAGAAGGAGTTAAACATGAGACAATACAGGTGGTTGGAGTTGGTTAAAGACTATGACATGGAGATACTCTATCACTCGGGAAAGGCAAATGTGGTAGCTGATGCATTGAGCCAAAAATCAACACACACGTCTGCTCTAATCACCACACAAAAAGCGATCCAACAGGATCTAGAACGAAATGGTGTAGCGGTGGCCATGGGGGAGGTCGCAGCTCAATTGGCCCAAATAATGATAAAATCGACCTTGAGGCAACGTCTTATTGATAAACAACATGGTGATCCAGACTTGGTTGAAAAAAGACGTTTGATAGGTGTCAATCAGACAGACAGGAGTTTTCATTGACAGCCGATGGGGGGCTCTTGTACCATGGGCTGTTGTGTGTGCCAAATGATGAAGAACTAAAGGTAGAAATCCAAACCGAGGCTCACCACTCGCGATTCGCCCTACATCCTAGCAGTATCAAGATGTATCAGGATTTGAAACGACATTATTGGTGGCGGAATATGAAACGTGATGTGGCCGAGTTTGTGAGCAAGTGTCCGGTTTGTCAACAAGTCAAAGCCCCAAGGCAGAAGCCAGCGGGGCTATTACAACCACTTAGCGTACCTGAATGGAAGTGGGAGAACATCGTCATGGACTTTATCGTGGGATTACCGAGGACGGCCAGAGGCTACACAGTTATATGGGTTGTGGTTGATAGGCTCACCAAGTCAGCTCACTAAGTCAGCTCACTTCCTGCCAGGGAAGTCCACTTATTCCGTGGATAAATGGGCTCAGTTATACTTGAAGGAAGTAACAAGATTGCACGGGGTACCGGTATCCCTTCTGTCAGATAGGGATCCCCGCTTCACATCAAAGTTTTTGAAAAGCCTTCAAAAAGTGTTGGGTACACGGTTAGAGTTTAGTATAGCATTCCACCCACAGATGGATGGGCAAACTGAACGCTTAAACCAAATTCTTGAGGACATGTTATGGGCCTGTATGTTGGACTTTGCTGGTAGCTAGACACACACTTGCATCTCATAGAGTTCGCTTATAACCACAGTTATCAAGTGACGTTGGGTATGGCACCTTTTGAGACCTTATACGGGAAGAAGTGTCGATCCCCAGTGTGTTGGGATGAAGTGGGAGAACGCAAGTGGTTGGGCCCCGACTTAGTGCAAGCAACTAATGAGGTTATCCAGAAAATAAGGACTAAAATGCGTACGGCCCAAAGCAGGCAAAAGAGTTATGCCGATGTGAGACGAAGGGATTTGGAGTTTGAGGTGGGAGACAAAGTATTCCTTAAGGTGGCTCCCATGAAAGGCGTTCTTAGGTTCAGGTGCAAAGGAAAGTTAAGCCAACGCTTCATTGGACTATTTGAGATCTTGGAGCGAGTTGGACAAGTAGCTTATCAGTTGGCTCTACCACGTGTACTTTCAGGAGTCCACAATGTGTTCCATGTATCGATGTTACGACTATACATATATGACCCATCGCATGTGATAGATTTCAAACCTCTACGGTTAGATAAGGGTTTGAACTATGAGGAAGAACCCGTGCAAATTGTGGATAGAGAAGTGAAAACCCTACGTAATCGAGAGATCGCGTTGGTCAAGGTATTATGGCGGAATCACCAGCTTGAAGAAGTCACTTGGGAACGAGAAGAGAAAATGATGAGCAAGTACCCTCAGCTCTTGAGAGGAAGGTAAGTAGCGCAAGCCTTGTGCATTTGAGTGAAGATTTCAAGGATGAAAGTTTCTTTTTTGGGAATATTCTAAGGTCCACGTTTTGGGCCCATGGCCCAATAACAAAATAAGAATTATAAAAATAAGCCTTAGCCAGCCGCCGCCCGCCGCTCTTCCTTCTTTCTGCTGCCACCCGCTGCTCTTCCTTCTTTCTTTTTTCACTTTTCTTCCTTAAGCCGCTGCCATCCAACGCTCCCGGTCCCCCAGCCGACTGTTTCCCACACCATCTCGCGCCCCTTCCCACATCAGAAAACCCCCTGCCCAGCACCCACATCGCCGCCATGAGGGAACGTCGCCGTTGCCAGAACCGTCAATAAGAGTATTAAACGCAACAAAGATTCAACGCCTACGTAGGAAGAAGGCTCAGTTCGAGGGGAGTCAGACCGCCGTTGATTAGGAAAGGCTAAGAAAGCAGCTCCTCAGGTAAGGGACATGCCTATTGAAACTAAACATTTTATTTCTGAAAAAATGGGTCAAACAGAACTGTCCTATGCCTATGTGCTATGTAATCTAATTGTTGTGTGCCGTGTAATCTAATTAGGCTGTGTAATCTGATTAGGCTAGATAATCTAATTGTTGTGTGCCGTGTAATTTGTAATTTAATTAGGTTGTGTGCTGTTGTGTAATCTGATTAGGCTGTGTAATCTAATTAGGCTGGATAAATCTGATTTCTGTGTGCCGTGTAATTTGATTAGGTTGTGTGATGTTGTGTAATCTTATTAGGGTGTATAATCTGGTTAGGTTGTGTGATGTTGTGTAATCTAGTTAGGTTGTGTGCTGTTGTGTAATCTGGCTAGGTTGTGTGCTGTTGTGTAATCTGGCTAGGTTGTGTGCTGTTGTGTAATCTGGCTAGGTTGTGTGCTGTTGTGTAATCTGGCTAAGTTGTGTGCTGTTGTGTAATCTGGCTAAGTTGTGTGCTGTTGTGTAATCTGGCTAAGTTGTGTGCTGTTGTGTAATCTGGCTAAGTTGTGTGCTGTTGTGTAATCTGGCTAAGTTGTGTGCTGTTGTGTAATCTGGCTAAGTTGTGTGCTGTTGTGTAATCTAGCTAAGTTGTGTGCTGTTGTGTAATCTGGCTAAGTTGTTTGCTGTTGTGTAATCTGGCTAAGTTGTGTGCTGTTGTGTAATCTGGCTAGCTAGGTCGTGTGCTGTTGTGTAATCTGGCTAGCTAGGTCGTGTGCTGTTGTGTAATCTGGCTAGCTAGGTCGTGTGCTGTTGTGTAATCTGGCTAGCTAGGTCGTGTGCTGTTGTGTAATCTGGCTAGCTAGGTCGTGTGCTGTTGTGTAATCTGGCTAGCTAGGTCGTGTGCTGTTGTGTAATCTGGCTAGCTAGGTCGTGTGCTGTTGTGTAATCTGGCTAGCTAGGTCGTGTGCTGTTGTGTAATCTGGCTAGCTAGGTCGTGTGCTGTTGTGTAATCTGGCTAGCTAGGTCGTGTGCTGTTGTGTAATCTGGCTAGCTAGGTCGTGTGCTGTTGTGTAATCTGGCTAGCTAGGTCGTGTGCTGTTGTGTAATCTGGCTAGCTAGGTCGTGTGCTGTTGTGTAATCTGGCTAGCTAGGTCGTGTGCTGTTGTGTAATCTGGCTAGCTAGGTCGTGTGCTGTTGTGTAATCTGGCTAGCTAGGTCGTGTGCTGTTGTGTAATCTGGCTAGCTAGGTCGTGTGCTGTTGTGTAATCTGGCTAGCTAGGTCGTGTGCTGTTGTGTAATCTGGCTAGCTAGGTCGTGTGCTGTTGTGTAATCTGGCTAGCTAGGTCGTGTGCTGTTGTGTAATCTGGCTAGCTAGGTCGTGTGCTGTTGTGTAATCTGGCTAAGGTCGTGTGCTGTTGTGTAATCTGGCTAGCTAGGTCGTGTGCTGTTGTGTAATCTGGCTAGCTAGGTCGTGTGCTGTTGTGTAATCTGGCTAGCTAGGTCGTGTGCTGTTGTGTAATCTGGCTAGCTAGGTCGTGTGCTGTTGTGTAATCTGGCTAGCTAGGCTGTTGTGTAATCTGGCTAGCTAGGTCGTGTGCTGTTGTGTAATCTGGCTAGCTAGGTCGTGTGCTGTTGTGTAATCTGGCTAGCTAGGTCGTGTGCTGTTGTGTAATCTGGCTAGCTAGGTCGTGTGCTGTGGTTAGTGGTATTTTGTGATTCAAAGCCAGTCGGAGAATACACTTTTTGACGGCTCAATACCAGCATTTTGGCTTATCCGGGTTGGGTTTAATACGCTCAGACTCTTTCCTTCTAGTTTCAGTTTTTTATGAAGCGTCTAAGGTTAGTATGACTACCTTTTAACTAGTTTAAATTTTGTGAGTTTAAATATTTATGCACAATTATGCTTAGCTAGTTTAAATGATCAGGAATAAGTTTAAATTATTTTATGCAAAACTAGGTGAACCAATTCCCTTAGTAGAATTCTAACTTATGATTGTTGGACTGCTTAGTCAGAATTAAATTTCAGACCTAAGCAAACTGTGTTAAGCTAGCATCAAGAAGTTATAGTAGCTTCGGCCTAAGCAAACCGTGTAAGTGGTCTTACTATCGACTCGATCAGAAGACTTGTCTTATGTATGATGACGAATGCCCAGTGACCCTTGCACATGTCATTTATATTTTATGTTATATAATGATGTGTTAATGTTATAGGATGATGTAATGACGTTATATTATGATGTGATAATGTTATATGATGACGTTAGTTGATGATGTGATGATATTATATGATAATGTGATAATATTATATGATGATGTGACGATGTTGATGTTGACATGATGCATAATAATAAGATGATGTGAGACGTATGATGATAAAATGACTTAATATGATGATGTTTCATATTAAGATGATGTGCATGTATTAAATGTCACGATGCATTATGACAACTAGTTTTCAAAGACACAACCCTAGTTAATGTTAATGATGATGAATGTGAAGGCCAATGCGTGCATATTACTTAGAGTAATTAGAGTAATGTGTGAATGGTGTATAGGGTTGTGTCATAAAGATGATTTAAAGATGAAAACTATAAGAACCTCATGCATTTTGTATGTTCATATACATCTTGATACTTCCCCATTTATGATAATGAGTACGAACGCGTACACTATGATGATGATGATGGTCATGCCTCATATGACATTCAGGGGTCTGTTGACCTTTGAACGTCGGACAGCTAGCTCGACTATGATGGGTCCAGGGAGTACGAACCGCCTAGAGACTCACGCTCGCACGTGTGGTTTACTACACATCCAATATTGTCCGGACTAGAGAGGCTACCCCTATGATGGTTTTAACGATAGGTCCCTAGAACATGAGTTGCATGTGTTTGCATTCTTTAACCCTAATAGTGGGGTCACTTACTGAGTATTATTAAAATACTCAAGCCGTGTGCTACTTCTATTTTGTTAAAGATAAGGCATCCCTATACAGCTGCCGACACACCGCAAGTAGAGACCATGCCACGTGCATGGAATAGTGGTATTTTATTTTCTTAGTCTTAGGTTAGTATAGTGTGTTTTTTCTATGTTTTACTTGTTTTATTTAGTATTTTCTTAGGTTGTTTTAAAGATTCTTTTGAACATGTAAGTCCACGACAATGTTTTATGATGAAGTTGTAAAAGTTGTAAAAGTTTAATTCTACATAAGAGCATAGGTTATGATGACAGTAGTGACGATAGTGACTCTAGGGTCGTTACAATTACTTTCTAGGTTCTTGTTGTGTTCTTGGTTCGTTCTCCAAGACACTCCCCCTAGAATTTATGGTACGAGTCATGAACTTGACAACCTGCATCCAAAATTTCATACGTTCCAAGTGACACAACCTGTAGCTACGTAAATTAAAAATTTGCCAGAACTTTATCCATATTTCTTATAAGTTTACATAACCTTTTTGTTTGGCTTAACTCTAAATAAAATTAAAGATGGTCCTAATCCTTATACTACAAGAATAAAGCGTTCATTCTCAACAATATCATCAAAATATTCTTTTGAGATCTTTTCAAATAAAGACCATATACTCATTCAACACATCATGCCATTTATTTAGTTTATTCCTTATATTAAACAAGATCTTTCTATTTAACTTTCATAAATTAGAAAGTATCAAACATCGCATTATCCAAAAAAAGAAATCTTCGATGTATGCGCAATTTTTATAAATTTTAAGACTAAATTTATTAAAAATAGATATCTTTAAAAATCAATAGTTTCTAATAAAGCTTAAGTCTTCGAATATGAATAAATAAATGTGATTAATGCACAATATCGACTCATAAATAACTCTAGAAAAAAATTTTAACTTTCAAACAAATATAACAGTTCTAGTTTTACGTGTTTTTCGTATGTCAAATAGATATTTTTTTATCTAATACATATTTTATAATTTATTAACGAACGAAATATTATATTTAAACAATGTTTCATACAAATGAGATATAATTACATCAAGTATTATTCGAAATTGTTATTTTTTTAAAAAATAGAATAAAGTGCTTTTTTTTATTTATAAATAATTAAAATATATATTATATTCTATTAAAAAATTGTTAAATATTTTTAGACCATGAAAGAACACAGATATAAATGAAAAGTAAAATACATAAAAAGTATCTTTTAAAAGGAGTAAAATGTCTTTTTATTTCTTTGACTGCGTCCTAAATGGAAAATAATATAAACATTCTTTGTGATCTATTTATTTTTTATAATTTATTCTTACCTTTATATAAAAATATAAATTTCATAGAGAGAAAATGCATTCGAATTTCAGCCTTGAAAATGTAATGAATAATAAAAATAATAATAATAATAATAATAATAATTAAAAATAACCATACGATGAATTCATTTTCGAAAAATAGTACCATACTTCTAAAATTTTTTATGGCAATATGGTTAAAATGGATTACGGGTGGTCGAAGAGTAGTTTGTGCAGCTGCAAGAACATTCATCCATTTATAGTACAATCAAAGTAGTGAACATGACGATAACAACTACAATTAAATTAATTATATGATCGAAGTAATATAAAAAAGACGTATAATTTAAATTATTATAAAAAATACGTATAATTAGTCGAATAATAGATTATGAGAAATTCGTAGCATACATTATTTTCATAAATTAAAGTGAATAAATTTAACAAATAGATTATTAATTCGTTAATATTTTCAAAGTAGCATTAAGTTTAATATATTCATAACAATAATAAAAAAAATTAGTTACAATATTGGTCAATCAAACTATCATCATAAATAAAATAATATATATATAATATATATTCTTCTTGATTTTAAAATTTAAATTAAAAGAATATATATAAAAAATGAGGTTTATTTCTAAAAAGAAGATAGATTATTATGGAAGGTAATAAGGCCTTACTTTTAAATGAGAGAGTATCAAATAAGCATAGATAGACACGTGTATGAAAAAAAAAAAAAGATGAAAATTCGAATGTGCATGGCTTATCTTCAAAATATTATACCAAAGAGGGGTTATATTTATCCCTTCTTGCCTCTCACGTTAATTCATATCTCAATTTTGTTCATAAAAAAGAAAGCACTATAATGGACAAAGAGAAGGAAACGAGAGAGAAATTAGGAGGAGAAGTGAAGCTTGGTCATTGCTTGGATGTTATTTTGAAGAATGCTGACGTAGCACTGCACTATCCCTCCTTCGTTAAGCTTTATGAACAACTTATTGCTGGAATCCTCTTGAACAAGGGAGCTATAGTAAGTGTAACTATATATATTGATTTCAACTTATTTTATTCGACTTTGTATATCATAAACATATTAAATCAAAATATTGGCTTTCTTTACTTTTTATGCAGAAGTACATCTTTGATAAGAAGTCAAACAGCAATTGGTACTTTATATTTGCAAGAGCTCTCTCAATCGCTTGGATTGAAGATAAAAGATACTGGGAATGGGGATCATGGTATAATTTTTTACTAATTTTTCAAGGAAAAAAAATGATAAAAAGTTGATTTCTTGATCTCTCTCACACGGGTGTTTAAAAACCTGCAGTGGTGGTAATGAAATTGCTAAGCTTATTGAAGTATCTTGGCTGGACATTCGTGGAAAGATCAAGGAGTCTATGCTCTCACCAAATATTGTGTATGAAGTAGCACTTCAGGTACAGCTAAATGATAGATCCTTCGGGTGGAATGCTCCAATGAACATCGAATTGAAGAAGCCAGATGGGAGCAAGATAGAGCGCCAGGAATGCCTGTTGGGGAAGCAACCAAACCAGTGGCTTGAGATTGCTATTGAGTTCAAGGTAGATAACCATGGTTGTGGAAGTAGTGGCGAGATCGAGTTTGCCTTTTATGAACATGGAGGGCATTGGAAGAGAGGGATGCTTGTGAAAGGTGTTCGGATTGGAGCGAAGGGATGTGGTTGCGCATGATCAAAATAGTCTTGGTGTACACAACCTCTCTCTCTCAAACTCAAAGTACACTTATTTTGATGATGAGGAACGAGAGTCTGTCTTAGAATCAAATACGAAAGAATGTACTAGTTTGAAATAATAAAAAATAGACCTTTTGCTTATGGACAAGAAGGTTAAGTTTTAAACACTTTTTGTTTCAAATATAATAAAACATAAATATGAACTAAATATCAAGAAAAAGATAAATCTAATAGTACCTTTCTCCTTACTAACACGAGTCAAGTTAAAACAATCATGGATGATCTTAGAAGAATTTTTCATTAAAATAAGATGGAAATTAATGTGCCGAGCCGAGATAGAGTAGGTCTTTTGATATGCTTGTGAGTCTAACCCTTTTCATTATTCAGTCTCACAATAACACATGTATATATATTCACGCACATTTATCACAATCGCACTCTTGTGGTAGTGGAACAATGATTGCACAACACTTGTTCTAGCTTTTAGGGAACAAGTCAGTCATATGATAGTCGGATTTTGCGGACAACCTTGATGTAAGATCGAGCCTAGGGTCACATTTGAGAGAATATTTTAGAAAACGTAAGCGAGGAAATATGTTGAAAACAATGTGAAAGAACTCAATGTTATAAGCTAAAAGCGAATAAGCAACAACCAGAACTTGACAATATATGACCCGGGCAGGAAGAATTGATAACTAGTCATATCCCGTATAGTACATTTTGGGGCATTTTAGCCCTAACAAGTGTAGACATGATTTTGGTGACTGGTCATACACTCTCGTATTGACGCAACAAGAATAGTAAAGACATATCTAACATGACAGCAAGTAAAAAGAGTTTGAAATGAACATACGACCATAAACCACGCCTTTTGACAAGTATGATCGAGACATCTGACATGCAACCACAAGCAACACATCTTGGACAAGCATGATCGAGACATCATTTTCCACTCAATTGGTTGACGTATCTATCAACCGACTCTTCACGAACTAAGCGATGTAGGATGGGGCTGACTTCAGGTCTCTCGACACGCTTCCAGCTAATCTCAACATCTTCCAATTTGAAAGAAATTGTTTAAAACCACTTCTCGGTTCATTGACTCTTTGTGTCTTCTTTGTTGAAGCCTCTCCTACTTTTTTTGCTGCGAAATTCTTCTTCGTTGCATGAGATCATACCACCTCCTTGTGATTGGTGTTTTCTTGGTCAGGATTGTAAAATTTCAAGTTACTAACATGAACAATAGGGCTAGTCCACGTCCTTGAGAGTAATTAGATCTTATATGATGCCTTCCCAACCTTGTTGATTACTTGGACTTGTCCATAGTATTTTTGCACCCGTTCGTGGTTCTTGCTACTTTAAAATCATACTCTTCCATAAATTTGTTGCCTTGGGGTCTTTCCTCAGCATTTAAGTGATCACTAATAAGAGTAGTTGAGGGTCTAGTAAACCCACCGTCAATAAGTCATTTAGTTGTTTGTTCAACTAACTTAAGTTGAGCTATATGACAAACATTTGTGGTAGACAACCTCGTCCTCGACATAGAATCAATCTCATGATTTATCTCCTTTGTCTGACCTTTTGGCTTTGTGTCGCGGTGTTCCTATAGTGGCAACGAGGTTTCTGTCGTAGTGAGCTCACTCGAGCTCCCCTATTCAACCATGGCAATGTAAACGAGCATGGGTTCATTGTCAATAATATCCCTTCTCAACTGTAACACCGATATTATCTTCACCCTTTTTGGTTGACGGGTGATAGTCTGAATGATTGTTGGGTTGGACCTCATACTACTAAACATTTTACTATGGGTGTGAGAATGACTTTGTGTTCAAGCAGAAAATTCATCCTCAGATGTCAAATTGTCCATCTTGACAATCACAAAATTAGTTTGTCCCATCCAAGTCCCTATCTTAATCGGAGTTCTCTTTGTAACCCCTAAGATAGGTAGAGCTGCTGAATTGATAGCTTTCTCTTTGTAACCCCTAATATAGGTAGAGCTGCTGAATTGATAGCTTTTGTCCGTATTGTATCTCGATGTCAAGCATTTCGCTTCAATCTCTATCATGAAGTTGTGGATACTCCAAAGTCAACCATAGTGTTCATGGTCGCTCTATGGTTGACCTAAGGCTCGACATACACAAGGCTGCACTCCACTAGCTCTTCTATCTCACTCACTCTCTTATGGGAGGTAGATAATTACTTTAGGGCCCCATGCAAGGGTTTTTCATACTTTTGACTAGCGTTGTTTCAACTTCTGTCGTCTCTTACTCATCTTCTAAATTTTACTTTAAAGGTATAAAGTGCCGACTTTTGTGCTCACTCGGTTTCTCAGTGGGTCCCTTTACATATGAAGAAAGACAAGGGGTCTTGGTTTTGACTCTAATTGTTTTAGCTATGAAGTCTCTGCCATGAAATTCTACTTCTTTGTTGGTAGGACTCGTATTCCCCTCCCCTTCCTTCAAGTTTGTCACTTCCCCCACCTGTGGGGAATTGGGTCGGTATTATGTCTGAGTTCTCTTAACTTCCTTCTTATTGTTATCTCAACACTCTCTGAAAAGAACTGAGAGCAGAGTTTTTATTTTAAACTCTTCCAAGTGTCGATAATACATCGAGTATCTTTGTTTTAAGATTTTCCAATTGTCCGCATTACATCAACCAAATTCTTCGGACTATCTTTGTTTTAAAAATATTAATAAAACTTTTAAATGTTTAAAATTTTAAATATATTTTTAAAATAAATTATTATAAAATTTAAACTTTTTAGTTTTATTTTTAAAAAAAAGTTGAATATTTTTATTAATTAAGTGTTATTTTTTACCTAAAAATTCAAAAAATTTATAAGCACCGAATACTTTGGGAATTGAAAAATGTAAATGACGCATTCCCAAAAGTAAATAGAAATATAAAAAAAATAAATAATAAATAAAGAAAACGCCGAAAGGGAGAATTGGAGAGGGAGTCCTTACCGGTTACCGGGGACTGTGGGCCCTTTTCTTTTTCTTTTTCTTTTTTTTCTTTTTAAATTTTATTTATTTATTCATTCACTTTAATCGAAGCACTTCCTTTTTCCTGGCCCCATCCCTTCCGACATGTCGCCATCATTTCTGTTTCCCTTTTCTTTTTCTTTTTCTTTTTCTTTTTCTTTTTTTTTCTCCCAATTATAAAAAACCAAATTTTTTTATAATTATTTTTTTGAAAAAAATTAATCCATTCATACTCTCTTTATAAAACAGCATTTTTTTTTTTTTTATTTCTGTAGTTTCCTTTTAGTTTTTCTATTTTTTTAATTACTTAAATTAATCTTATCTATTTGTCATTTAGTTGAGCTTCTAATTTTAATTATTTAAATTTAATCCATCAACATTTATGTGCATATATAATCAAAATTTATATAAAAAAAAATAGAACTAAAGATTAATTTTTTAAAAGTTGGTCAGATTTAGGATGGATTGTACATGGACGGTGGTTGGAGTCAGCGGCTCTCTTAAGGTTCCTTCTGTTGGGTGATGAAAGTCCCACGTTGGCTAATGTAGGAAATGATCATCAGTTTATAAACAAAGAATACTTCTCTCCATCGGAATGAGGCTTTTAGGGAATCTAAAACAAAGTCATGAGAGCTTATGCTCAAAGTGGACAGTATCATACCATTGTGGAGAGTCATGTTCGTCTAACATAGTATCAGAGTCATGTCATAAACTTAGTCGTGTCAATAGATTGGTAAATCCTCAAATGTCGAACAATGACTCCAAAAGAAAAGGAGTCGAGCCTCCTAGAAGGCAGTCATAAATGACTAAGACTCCAAAGGAGTCGAGCCTCGATTCCTCAAATGTCGAACAAGGACTCCAAGCCTCCTAGAAGGCAGTCATAAATGACTAAGACTCCAAAGGAGTCGAGCCTCGATTCCTCAAATGTCGAACAAGGACTCCAAAAGAAAAGGAGCGAGCCTCCTCGAAGGCAGTCATAAATGACTAAGACTCCAAAGGAGTTGAGCCTCGATTAAGGGGAGGGGTACTTTGTTCGAGGGGAAGTGTTGGATGATGAAAGTCCCACATCGACTAATTTAGGGAATGATCATGAGTTTATATTCTCAATTGTGGACAATATCATGCAACAAAATGGACAATATCATATCATTATGGAGAGTCGTGTTCGTTTAACATCCTCATCTCGAATCCTGGAGAAGAGGATCAAGTTAACTCTTGTGAATAACGATCAAGTTAGCTCTTGTGAATAGCTTGATGCACTATCTCTCTAATTGTATGTTGAAATTAAGTGTTCATGTGAACTAATTTATAAGTACAAAAAATTTGTACATGAAAACTCATAAGATTCTATATACAACTAAGAACAAGAACCAGAATCAAAGGAACAAGAACAAGAACCTAATTCCAACCTCCCCAGATTTTTTCCCCTATGTAACTCACAATCCACCTCACCGACCCTTTCTCCGCCTCATTCTCGCCGCCATCCGCCGCCTCCATCTCCGTCACCCTCGACTCTTCCACCTTCGGGGCGAGTTCGGACCCCTTCCCATCACCCGGACTGGAAACCGACCCGGATCCGGACCCGGTGTTCCTCTTCTTCCTCTCTTTCTTATTGTTCTTGCCGGCTTTACTCTCGGCCAATGTTTCTTCATAAGCATCGATGATTTCGTGTATCATTTGCCGATTTGGTGAGGAATCCCATCTCACCCAGTAGCTAGTGTAGCACCGGAAACAGTCGCAGGAGAAAACTGGAGGGTGATCGGAACCGCTCTTTGCGGCGGCGGGTTTCTGGTGGGCCGCCTTGCCGCGGTGGCCGGAGAAGTTGTTGACGGTGGTGAAGTCGTTGGAGAAGGAGGAGATGAGGTAGGCTAAGATCTCTCGATCCTCCGGTGAAAGCGCCGCCGCGAGGGTGAGGATGGCAGTGGGGAGAAAGGAGAGATGGTCGGAGATGATCGGCGGCGATGGGTGGACCGTTCCTCTTCTCCGGTAGAGCTTCTTCATCGGAGACAAAAAAATAAATAAATAAAGGGATTTCAGGTGGACGGTGCAGATTCTGTTTTGCTCTGAAAAGAGTGAGGGAGCGAAAGGGGTAAACTGGATAAAGTTGAACAGATTTTATTGAGAGTGTCGGCGCGTGAAATCGCGTGTGGAAAAGATGCGAGTGTGCATTTTGAAACGAAGCTACTGCAACTGCAATGGCAATGGCATTGCATGGCGATGGGAAATATTCATGTGGAACGCGGGAATTAGTGTATGCATAGTACAGCCCTAATTGGTGTTAATCGTACGGTGGAGATTCTTGATTCGAAGGTGGTGGGCCCACGCCGATACTTTATTCATATTTTTATATTTATTCTCTTTCTTTTGAGAGGTACTACGAGTTAATGGTTTAAAAAAACTTGGAAGGGTCATTATTTGTACGTTTTTTAGATCCGGTTCGCACCAGACCAGGACCGGACCGGACTTGTTTCCGGTCTGCCCAGTCAGCATTTAGGGATTATTCGAACCAAAAGTTCAACCCTATTCCATTTCGTTCACCCGTATTTGACCAGTTCAACGCCCAAGACTTGAACCGCCCATCTGAACTAACTCGTTCTAGAAGCACCTATCCGCGTGTGCCACATGTCATGCTTAAAAAAAATTTCATGAAAATTACGTATGCTAGATTTGAACACAAGACGTCAAAGTCGGGGAAACAATTTGTGATCACCACGTGGCACACTGAGTGTGCATTTATTCCTCCTCAACGCGTGAGCTATGCGCACGTGTGACCGTTTAGGCACGTGATTGTGAGTTTCTCGACCCGTTCCATTGTTTTTCATCCTGATTTTGATACTAACCCAATTATGACTTAATTTATGGCCTACTAGAGAAATTTCAGAAATTATGGAGCTCTTAATGCACGGAAAAGCTAGCTCGAAAATGTACTTTTCATCCAAGTAAGCAACCACACGGGCTTTAGGCAAGTAATACTTGTAGGAATCGTTAAGACGTACTAGCATGTGAGCCTTCCTTACCTTAGGTGGTTAAAAATTGCATGTTAAAGACTTCAAAATGGTTTTTTTTTTTTTTTTAAATTTTTTTGACGAGTATGCTATGTACGATGTAAAAAATTACCAAAATGCCCCTATTATGAGATTTGTAATGAATGTTGTTCTATGATCTTTCTGCTGTGTTAGAACAGAGGATGAAATAATGTGATATGTTCTTCGGGAGATTGATGTATGTTATCTTCCATTGAGCTTGATTGCTTGTTTGTTTGCACGAATGATTCAGTTTATGTTTTAGTGCTTTAGGTGATCGATAAGATATCTTCTAAGTAAGTTTGCATGCATGATTAGATTATGTATACGGTGTTCTAGGTGATCGATAGGATAATCTCCCTAGCAAAGCATGTACAGGAAAATCAAGCTAATTTTAGGGTGCTACAGCTAGAGCAATTTACATGTTAGCCTATGTCAGTACGTTCTACTAAACCTTACACCTCATGATCGTGAGCGATCAGAGGTTTAGCCTTGAATGCACCAAAAGATTAGTTTAACCTAAGGAGCTAACCCTAAATTAGAACAAGAGATGAAACCGCCTAGATGCCCTTCAGAACTTGGTAAACTTCCACGACATCTAGGTATAACAAAGGTAAATCTCCAAACTAATAGCAGTCGATACATTGTCTTAGGAACTTCCACCTCCCTTTCCACTCCGGTACAATAGCGTTGAGATAGATGTGAGGTTGGTTAGGGATGTGTGACTCGTTGTTTGTTAGATTATCCTACACAGTAGATTCGTTCTATATAGGAGAGCATGTTCATGCGAGTAGTTAGTGGTTACTCTGCACGGTAGATTCATCTTGTGGGTAGTCAATGGAGTTGGCATGTACTAGGGGGTCCCGCCTCCAATTTTATGTGATTACATAGCTTGTGGGATAGGTTCGCTAGCTAACCTCCCATGGATAACGAGCAAACTAGCACTCACCATGTTGTCCCCACCTGATACAAAGTTTTGTGAGGTAGAGTCTCAACTTCCAATACCGATTACTATTGCATGAACTAAGTAAGCTACCAAAGTCAAAGAAACGAAAACTAGTTCACCCTGGAGATTAGATTTGTGACTCGACCAATTTGCAATGCTAAAAAAAGGTGAACTACCTCTTTTGAATCCAGAGTGGGTCCATGAGTAGCTTAAGTACCCTCGAAACTTCGAGGCACTTCAGATGCTTAGATAGCAATAGAGGGTAGACCAGAACTAACAAAACAAGTATCACAAAACTTTTTCCCCATCGTAAAATCAAGTGTTTAAAAGCACCTCTTAACCGTAGCATTGCAACCACGGCCTTGAGCCAATCATAAACCAAAAAAATCTCGAGCATTTCCTCCACAAGAATGAGCAAACTAGCATCCCCGTCAATATCCTCCACCCGCCTTGGGTTTAGCATTAATTAGTTTAATATTTAATATATCAAATATAATAAATATACATTTCTTTTTGTACGTTAACCTATCGAATATTTGAAATATTAATTTGAATATTTCAAATCATATATATTTTTCTTTTTGTATTCAGTATATATGTGGTATTAATTTGAACCCTTCAAATTAAAATATATTTTGTTCTTTTTATTTAATAAATTTAATAATTAAATATTAATTTAAACCCTTTACATTTTTTTCTTTTAATTAAATTAATCATTTTAATGTTACTGTAAGCTAGTAAGGGATATTATGGACCCACACGTTATAAGTTTCAATGATACAAAATTAATTAAGTAAACTCTTCCTTTCATCAATTTTTATTCATTAAATATAGATCACTCCGCTATAAACTTAGAATTGCACTCTTATACACTATAGGACAAGTTGTGTTGATTGATATAATCATTATAAGTAAATCGATCATTCACGAGTTATTCGTAATTACAGTTTGGTCAAAAGTCTATTTTACATCTATCATTATACCTTATATCTTAAGTACCACTGATTGTCTAATAAACAGTTTGTTTATGATCCAGCTATAAACGAAATCCAGACTAGTGAGAGAGTGGGCCCCATCATTTATGTGAAGTTATGTTATGTTTTCAACTCCTATTGAATCGTTACAATAACCATTCTCACTCATGAAAATTAAATGACAAACCCTTACACGCCGGAGTTATAACTCACTCAAAATTAAAATCAAGTTAACAGTATTATCAAGACAAAACATGAGCGGTGGTCTCACCCGGATAAGATTGTTACCAAGACAAAACATGTGTTAACAGGGTCATGTTAACAGTATTACCGAGACAAAACACCAATTTCATTCATATACTATTATAGATTCTTTAAATTATTATTTAAACATGAGCGGTTCAAGATTACATTTATAACCTTGAATTTTTTCTATCAGGAACGGTATTAAATTTTAAATAAAATAATTATTAAAAAATTAAAAAAAACAATTACCAAATTTACTCTGTTTTTTTCCAATAATAAAAAATAAATCCAATAATAAAAAAATTGATGAATGGAGGGGCTTGATCGGAATGGGACATCCAACGGCAGCGTTGAATTCACATAAATACTGGCTTGCCTTTTCCCGTTTTTCCATTTGGGTGAAATTTTTATGTTTGGAATTGCGGAAGCAAAGATATAGGAAATTTCAATCCCTCATCGTTGCATGCAGTTTACCGGTGAGTTGCATTTCCCGCCTCTCTCGCTTTCACACGATTCCCCCACTCTGTTTCTCACAGATTTCTCTCTTTCTGTTGATCGCCGCCGTAGCCTCACCACCGCTGTCGGACCTTACCGCCAGCCGAATCGCGCAAACGCCGCCGTCGATCGGACCTTACGCCAGGTAGTCAAATGAGATTGACAGAGGCCAGAAAGAACAATATAAAATAGAGAAATGCGTTTTTCAGCTGGAATAGTTTCTTCTCCGGTATAGGTTTTGTGCGCGCTTCTTCGGCGAACCTCCTTGTAGATTGGAGGTATCCAATTCGTGGGTGAGATCCAATTTCCTGCAAGTTCTCTAATAATTTTTGGTTATGGTTAAGTCTAACTCGTGAATTTTGGCCCTTCTAGTATACTCAAAACTTTTGGATCTTGAATCTACGAAATCAGATCTAATTGAAGCCAATCAGTGCGAACTCTGTTTCATTTTCGATAAGAATTTGTTGGGTAACTTTCTATCGAACTTTTTGGATTCATTTAGGAGTTCTTTTGTAGGCTCTAACTCTTAGATCTCTGTTATGTGTAGTTTGAACAAAGTCATCAATACTGAAACCAATTTCGGCTAATTTTTTTCTTGTTGGAGTAAGTTAAGTTACAAGATTAAGTCTCAAATTATTCTTGGAACTGGAATTCTTAGGATGTAAGTTTCAGGTTTAATTTATTGGAAATAATTGTAGGTTGGGCAAACGGTCTCCTTACTCGGAGCTTGGGATTCGAAATTTTCAGGTTTCACAATCAAGGTAAGTGATTTTCCTATTGGATGTTCCTGATGAATGTTAGGTACGCATGCATTTATGAGTTTTTTAGTATTTGAAAACTGAATTTGTCTTTGTGACGATTTATTGATCTGATTGCGATTTTTGTCATTTCTTGATACATTTTTGGAGATGTTTTGATTTACCCTTTTGTTTACATTTATTTTAACGGGCACCCCAAGCAAACTTTTCCTTACTTTGTTTGGATTTGTTATTCTCTATCAACTTTTAAAATTTATTTTCATCTTGTAAAATGCGAAAGCATGTTTTTCGTAATGGACCTGGTCGGTCTAGGTCTAAAATGTTGGATTGTTACACTTTAGATAAATTCAAGCTTGTATCAAAGGTCCTTAGAATTCCTAAATTTCTCAGTTTCTATATAGATGAGGCTGTTGCATTTCGCCTTTGTGCTTGCTTTAGCTTCTGGATTTGCGGCTATTCTCATATACATTAATGGTGTTTCCTACCTATGTAAGAGCCTTATGTTTCTGCTTAATTTCTTTTCATTCGCATTCGTTGTAAGTGTATGATCATCTAACTTATGTTTATATCTATTAATAGATGGTAATTATCAACTTTCCGATGAGGATTATGAAGCTCTGCAATCCCTTCAGAGCAGTTTCCAGAAGTGTGTGGTTAGTTCTGTAAACCATTTCTTTCAAGCGTTTACTATTTCTGAACTGGAAAGAACATGTTGATGAAAGTTTCGCTTGCGGCTATTGTAAGGCATAAGCTTATGACATCACTCTGTATTTTAAGAGCTTTTCAAATACCTATTGATGACCTTTAAGACCATTTAGGTAATTTTGGATGTAACTTTGTTTTATAAGACGCAGATGAGTGTGTGTTTTTCTCGATACAATGCGAAGTAGTTTAACATTTTTCTCAATTAAAACAAAAACTTTAATCTCTTATATGGTTGTACGCCATTTGTTCGATGGTGTTGCAGAGTGCAAATGGATTAGGTCTACAAGCTGTTGGTGGTGAAGATTATTGCCTAGTTACAATGAGGTTTCCTCAAGAAACCATTCCCAAATGGGTAGGTTCCCTTCATCCTTCTGACGGACTAATCATATATTTGTTGAGTAGATGAAATTTGAATAAGTTGGAGCATTGAATCCCACTTACAAATCCTGCCACTCCATGTTCTTTTGAACCAAATTTAGCTGATACACAAACTTGTACTTAAGATTTTTGAAATTTTCATGTGAACAGAAAGATCCTAAAACTGGTGAACTTGAAGGCTTATCATATGAATTTAATCTCTGCGAAGCTGTGGCTACTTGGGAACAGGTAAGCTGCTTTCTATATTAGGTAAAAGGTTGTATGCATCAATTTTTCATTCAAATTTCTACTTTTATCTGGGAAAAAAAAAACACACCTTGAAATTAAAAGAGGTCTCCGTTTTATATTATTTCTCTTACAAAGATTCATAAGCATGTTTACGAATTAAATTATTATCTAATGAGTGGACTGCTCAGGTGCGGAACAGTACTACCATACTGACCAATGAGTACATTGATGGCTTGCCAAATGGATGGGAGGAGTACGCCTGGCGTAGGATTAACAAAGGAATTCTTCTGTAAGTAGTTACAGTTACAAAAATTTATCCTTGAAATGATTGACAATTTATGGGTTTATAGACACCAATCACTTATGTATGTGAGGATTTATATATATACATAAATAAATAAATAAATAAAACAAAAAAAACAGCTATTTTGAACATAAGTTTTCTTAATTTTAGACTTCTACCATATCAGGTTTCTAGTTTCATAAGCTTCACTTCTAATAATCATAAGGAAAGAACTCCTTCTGAAGCTGTATAGTTTAATACAAATCCCAAGAATTTACAAAGCGCATGTTGATGTCGCTGTGTTTTGAGCTCCAGAATGAACATCCCTATCAGAAGACCAAGGACAGTTTCTCGTAGCCAGGCTTACAGTGACCTTTTTTTCCATTTGCAGTAATAGTTGTGCTAATAGAACTTTGTGCATGGAGAAACTTTCCTTAGTACTTCCTGAAACGCCACCATATGTTCCAAAGCAATATGGTCGTTGTGCTGTTGTGGGAAATTCTGGAGATCTCTTGAAAACCAAATTTGGGAAGGAGATAGATGGTTTTGATGTTGTTATCAGGGAAAATGGGGCCCCTATCCAGGTTCGGCTTCTACTAATCATTTTAGATGCTCCTTTCCTTTTGATAATTTTGCTTAATCCCCCTCTATTCTACGTTTCTTCATTTATATTATTTATCCTAGCCAAGGACTTATTCATTATTCATTGGCTATTGTTCAGTCTCGAGTGACCCCTCCTCTATTTTATGTTTCTTCATTTATATTATTTATCCTAGACAAGGAATTATTCATCGGCCAATGTTCAGTCTCAATGCACCCTTCCTGTTTTGACATTCTTTGTTTGATAGAGAAACATTGGATATTGTCGACCTTCTTTCTTTAATGCGAGAGTTTCATTCTTTCTGGGAAGAAGGTATGTTCGTTTTTGGAATCCCAATTCGTCTGCTGGTTTCTCTTATAATTCCTTCTTTCTTTGTCTGGTTAACCCCCCTTCCTTGAGTGATATTTTCTTTGCCTCACGAGGAAAGGAGCAAATTCTCAAGAAAGTTAAGTTTTTTTGTTTGGAAGGTCCTTGATGGAAAAGTTAACACTATAGATAAGGTGTTGAGGAAGGTGCCTAATTTGGTGGGGCTTGGTGTTGCATTCTTTGGGTAGCTGCAGATCAGGATTGTATTCTTTGGACTTGTGATTTCGCTTATGCAGTTTGGAGTCGGTTCTTTCAGGAGTTCAGCCTTGGCCAAGGCAGAGGGACTGCAAAGAGATGCTCGAGAAGTTCTTTATCCTCCTTTCTTGAGAAACGAAAGTTTGTGGCAAGCGGGGTTTGTGCTATCTTTGTAGGAGCTCTGGGGTGAGAGGAACAATAGAAGTTTTAGAGCACTTGAGAGATCCTTGAGCAATGTTTGGCGAAGCTTTTTGACAATTATTCATCATGTCTTATTTTGCTTGATTGGAGACCCTTCTTATAGTTTGCCTCCTTTTTTGTCGGCTCTCTTATTGTATAGCTTGCATTTTTTTTTTCTCTCTCTCAATGAAAGCCCGGTTGTCTTATGTTTTGATTTTCACAGAACTACACAGATCATGTGGGTAAGAAAAGTACCTTTCGTCTTCTTAATAGAGGATCTGCAAAAGCTTTGGATAAAGTCGTGGAGTTAGATGGTATCAATATTTTTTCACTTGTTATTGTGGTTCTAATGCATTATATTAGAACTTAGAAGTAGTATACTAAGTACAACTTGCATATTTTGCAGAAACAAGAAAGGAGGTTTTGTTGATCAAAACAACAATTCACGATATCATGAACAAGATGATTCAGGTTCTTGTACTGTTTGTAGTAGCTTCTTTTTTAACGATCTTTGCAAAAAAATACAGGATTGTAATTTCTATGCTTTGTAGCTTTCTAGTATTTGTACTGGTTTGAACCAGACTCCATATGTTTCCTTGAAGTTTCTCTAGTTCCACCTTTCCATCAAGGTTCAAGCAAAAATAAAGGGTTTTTTTTTCTTTCTCTAATAGTTTCTTTTATGGAGGTTTTGTTTCCCTTAACTCCCCATTTTTCATGTCTTGAAGGGAGAAGAAGGGAATAATAAATCAATTGAGACTGAGGACAACCCCTTATCTTTCTAACGAACTAAAAGACGAAATTTTTATTCATTCTTCTCGGGTTGGAACTAGGAAGAGAGAGGAGGAAAGATTCTGGTAGGATTTTCCAATCCTTTAGATGTGAAAGGGGGCTTTACCCACACCTAAATGTGAATTCCTCACTCTACTTTTTTAATAACTCCAAGAGCACCATTGATACCTCTCCAAGAGAAGCTTTTTTTTTTCTTTCCAAATTAATACTCGCATATATAGCAAGTGTTTGGGCCAACTTATGTACAAATGGCTGTTGCATTGAAATTAATATATTTTTACTGAAGTCATGAATTTTCTTGCTCGTTAAATACATAGTTAGATGTCATACCACTAATGATAGATCGTGTTTTACAAACCATTCCTTCTGAAAATTTTATTCCTAACTTGAATGTTGAACTTGCCCTGCGCTTAAAATTTCATCATCAAATATTTTATTTAGGTGATTGCCTCATTGCACCCTACTTATTATTTTCCTCCTACTTTCTGCAGGAGATACCCATAAAAAATCCTGTTTATCTCATGCTTGGTGCTTCATTTGGTTCTGCCGCAAAAGGAACTGGGCTCAAGGCTCTTGAGTTTGCTCTCTCCATATGTGACTCTGTGGATATGTATGGCTTCACTGTTGATCCTGGTTATAAAGAATGGTATGAGATTTGTTGTTACAAATAATTTCTTAACATGTGAAATAAAAAATATACTTAATTGATGAATGAAACTAAATTTTCTCAGGACAAGATACTTTTCAGAATCTCGTCAAGGTCACACACCTCTGCATGGTAGGGCATATTACCAGATGATGGAATGTTTGGGTGTAAGTCTGCTAATATTTATGACATATGTGCTGAAACTTGTGTGCTTTTTATGTACTTATTAGTGCAACTGAGAAGTTCCCTTCTGTGGTGGCAAAACCAAACTAAATATTTTAGGTATCAAAACTTTGATGATTGATGATAGACCTTGCCAAAAGTTAAAATGAGAAAATATTAGAATATCCAAGTGGTAAATCTGTCATTGAAGTTTCAATGTTGATTTTGTTAAATGAATTAAGTTCTATAGATCGAGTGTTCTGTTTTACAGTTCATTTTAAATATAGATCTCACAAGAATTTGAAGAGAATTCAAAATTTACAAATAAAAATCATGATATTTTATCAACAAATATCTATCCTCAAGTATTGACGGCATGCTCGCTCGGTGAAATTTGATTTTCTTGTTAAACTGTTATATTCTAAGACGATTTCTGTATTAACCATAAATTTGTCATCTGTGATTGATTAGTTGGGAAATAATAGCACTTTTAAAATTGTGTAGCTTGTCAAAATCCATTCTCCAATGCGACCTAATCCGAACCGGGTGGTGAAGTGGGTACCAAGCCAAAAGATGGTTACTGCTGCTAGAGTTGCATCTGAGAAACGATTGAGGTAGTTGAATCATTGATCTTTATCAACATCCACACTCCCCACCCCACCCCACCCCACAAAAGATTAAAAAAAAAAAAATAGAAATTTTATGGGTGATCAATGTATATGTTTCTACTAAACTATGAATCATTCCATGAATGTTGAATGCCATTTCATTCTCATTTAACAAATCTGTACTGCATGGTAAGACATTGCGTGTAGAGACTTTGCGAATCAACTATTCTATGTATTTGCTACTATACCATCCATCTCAGCCAGACCTTTTAACATTATGGCGATGCTCGTCAAGTTCATAAATGAATAGTTGATGCCTAGGTTGGCATAACTTATGTTTTGTGCGCCAATCTATATTCTTAGCCTAGAATTTCAACCCAAAACGTGCATTAATGGTTGCAGGAGTCCAATATTGGACCTGCAACCTTTTAGCTATGATCAACTATGAAGCAAATGTTTTGGTGCTCTATCGTATTTTCTTAACTAATGCAAATTAAATGTATTGATGTGTAAGTGTATCATCCTTTTCTAAACTCTTGGTGTTTATCCTTAAAATGTACAGGAGGGTTGGAGCAGGTTCTAAAGACCCATTGGCTTCGTGCTCTATCATAAAAAAGCGTATCAGAAGCAAGCCTATGTCAATTTCAAGCCTACGCAAGCCTGCCGCTGCTCATCAAAAATTTGTGAGAGGCACAACCATGTACCCTTTGGAGCATAGTCCTGGTCATGGTCTTCTTTGCACAGTGCCGCCAAATTGAATCAATTAATTGTATGTTGAAGTTCATTTGGAACCAGACGTGGTTGCAGTGGAGCATTGAAATACAAGAAGGGATTATTCATTTTTGCAAGGTACAAAAATTCCGCATGCCAATCCCGGATTCTTGAAACTTGTGGATACTCTCAGAATCCGTGCATTCTTGAATTGAATCCTTCTCCTTATAGCAATACCATGATAATTCATCTGCTGCGACTGCATCAAAAGTTAGTGGTTATCTTTCACCCATTGTTCGTGCAAAATTTTGTTCAAAGAGTAATTACAACTGCCCTTCATCATTCAGGTTGTTCTTGCTCGTCAGAGGAACAATGTTTTTCTCCCGTGAAGTCTGGATTGGTGAGGTGAGTGTATCTTGACATAGATATTGATATTATGAATTAATTTTGACTTCTCCACATCATATTGAGTGGTTTATGATCTGTTACTTCAAATATTTCTGCGAAGCTTTTGATATAGTTAGATCTAAATCTTAGGGTACGTTGTTAAGAACTTAAGCGTAAGCTTGAGAGAGAGTCAATGAGATGAGGACGTTGTGGTTTTCCAAACATATATACTTAAAGCCACTGACTTGAGGTCGAGAGATGTGTAGAAAGATATAGAAATGTGTGGATTCAGGAATGGTGCGATCGTGGTTATGTTCTTGTGAGTTTTTCTTTAGCGAACGTTGTTTATATTAGGTTCAACGCAAGTGTACCTTTAAACACAGGTTACTTAGAACGAACTTAGTGATTGAATTGGATGGAAATATTGTAGCAAAATATTAAGAATATCCAACCGATGAAAATAATGTATTGAAAATAACTCTAGAATATTCACACAAAAAAAAAAAATAATAATAATAATATTGCCTTGTAAAAGATTTTAATGAATGGTAAAGATAATGTTGTATGGGTAAAACAGTAAAGATTTGTAGTAAAATGAGGGTTAAATTAAATATTAATTTGAATGTTGATTTTATAAGTTTAAATTATATAAAATTAATTAATTAAACTCTTTAGTTTATCTATTTTTATTAATTAATTATAAACTTACATTTGCACTATAAAATGGTAGAACAAGTGGTATTTATTGATACAATCATTACAAGTAAATTGATTTGTCATGAGTTCAGAGTAACAACTAGGTCAAAAGTCTATTCATCATTGTAATTATATCTTACGCTTTAAATATTACTAAGCACTAAGCCCCTCTTAGACAAGGAAATTGCAATACAAGCTACATTGTTCATCACTATCCGAGGAGAAAAAGATTTTAGAGTTCAAGTTGAAAATACATGAATAGATAATGGTTTAATGACAAGAGTCCCACTTAAAACTCTAAATACAAGGAAATGATCTCGAATAAAATCTTTGAAAAAATTTAAAACTTGAAATAAATCCAATAAAATAATAAAATTTTGAAACATAATTAATATGTTTTTTTTTCTTAATTTAAAAGTCTTTCAACTTTCTAATCTAAGATCTCGTTAAAGTAAGCAAGCATGAAAATGAGGAATCGGAATGAAAATGGTATTCTGTTGTTTATTAGATGTCTGAAATTTAAAATTATAAGCTTAATGATGTTTGATGTTGTTCCTAAAGACTACTTGAACTCGAATGTAAATTAGATATACTATAGGCTAAATTTTAGAAAACTGTCTAAAAAATAAACCTCTTTCCAAAACTCATCACAAAACCTGCATGGAATACAGTGCTGTAACAATCTAAGCAATGTAAATAAGATTAAAACTTTTCATTGAAATTTGCTTGAACTAAACGAGGCTTAAATATTTCATCAAATATCAGATGGGCGTTGAAATTTGTAGTTGCATCTTCAACATAAATGCTATAAATGCACAATTTCCATAACTCATCCATTCAGAAGCGTTTCATAGAGCGTTATTATGTTTGCCTAAATCAGGATCTAATTTATTATTTCCAACAGTTTTGAAGCATAGTTGCATAGCTACAGAAGTAAAATAAAGAACATAAATTGATTTGCAGAAAAGTCATGGAGCCTTGGCTAGAAGAAGGTCAGGCTTTGGAGTGGTGGGGGAAAGGGAAATTCTGCTCATCACAGAGGTAAGTAAATGAAGAATATATCATATTTTGTCGTCATTCGTTGACAGCAGCTACTTCCTCCTTCGAGAAATAATCGTGCCTGTACGCAAACGAAATGTTGAGTTAGTCAAAGGGAAAATGGATCAATCATAATCAATTCTACCAAAAAAATCCAAGAAAGAAAAAGAACTCCCAAAGTTCAAGGTAAATATAGTTGTTGATCTTCCGAACTCACTTCTCTAACGACTAATTCTTGGATTATGTCATTATAGACAGCCTTTTGTAATAATCCTCGTATAATGTTTATTTCTTTGCTCCAAGTTGAAAATGTCAATAACTTTAAACGTAAAGAAGCGACGACTTACTGTATTTTTCTTGTCAATTGGTAGATGCCAGTCCCTGCCATTGCAACGTTGACACTAAAAAGGTTCCAGTTCTTCTGCATTTTTCAGAAACAAGAAAGATGTTCAGAGCTAAAAAGAAAGTGTAGCCATTAGCTAAGATACGATTTAATCTAATTATTCCATCAAGGTAATTACAGGGACAAAACTGGAATCCCACGTCAATTTATTATTTATATGTTCTTTACACGACTATGAAAGTCGAACGCATAATATTGAATCCTCTCTCTCCATCCATGATCCTACCTAACCATGAATCCACTCTGGCCAACCCTCCAATCAGGAAATAACCTCCTATGGTTGTTCTTCAATTGCTGGCGACCCCCACCCAAGTCCTATCCTTTAGAAGGAAGAAATTTTCGATTGAAATTAACCGAAGAGACCGTTCTTTCTCTTCTATTCAGCGGAGTTCTCTAGCCTGGCTTTTATCTACTCAATAGCATCTCGGAATCCCGTTCAACAAAAAAAAATTGAAGAACAAAGGACAGAAAGTTATGTCATATGGGTTGAGAAGTTATCAAATAGAAGAGGGTACTGTGCAGAAGCTGGAAGGCAATGGGGGATGCACGAAGTTGATTGTTCCTTGTGGAGAAAACACAAAAGGTTGGAGTCTTTTTATAGAGTTCCCACCAATCACTATACAAAACTATCCTACAGAAAAGCATTAATGAAGGAATCACCCTGGCCCAACCAAAACTCAACCCCCGCCCATGTTACACGGGCAACCTCCTTTCATCATACGACCTTGCCACCTTAATCCTCTTTGATGTTGTTCCTCTCAGAAGATGACATTTCCATGATAACTGATACGATAGTAAGGGAGCTTTAAGGGTAGGCATCAGCTCATACAGCTCTCTAAGCCCACTTCAACCAAACAAAGCCCTGTAATATGTAAATGCTAGGAACGAGCTTCAACTTTATGTAACTTCTGAAATTGGTACACCCAAATTCGAGAAATGGACTAAGAATATTTGAAAGATCAAAAGGTTCCATCATATGGTGGCGGGGTCAAAAGTTCAAAACTTACCAATGGATCAATGGAGTCTGGATCAAAGTTCACAACCCCTCCCTTTTAGGCTCGGTACCCCCAATAGTATTCCCATTGCCTATTAGCCAAGCCCATAAACTGTACCCATTCCATCTAAATGTACTTGGCCCCACCTGACCTCAAAAGCCCACAATAGACCTCTCAATCCCACTGAATCAACCATACCTCTCTTCCCTCCGGCTGATCCATCTTTTCAACCTCACATACCCCCACCTGTCCCATTTCATAAAAGATTGTTAACCTACTTTATTCAATCGTGCCTAGTTACTCATCAACCCGTCCTGCTCGATACTGCTTTAAAGCCCCCCCCCCCCCCCC